TTCACCAGCTTCATTGCCCTTCTCTGGACATGCTCCAGCACCTCAATATCTTTCCTGTAATGAGGGACCAAAAATCGAACACAGGATTTGAGATGTGGCCACACCACTGCAGAGTATTTCAGTCACTGCCCTGGTTCTGCTGGCCACAATATTTCTGATACAGGCCAGGATGCCATTGGCCTTCCTGGCCTATTCTGGCTCATGTTCAGCTTCAGTCAACCAGCACCTCCAGGTCCTTTTCCTTCAGGCAGCTTTTCAGTCACTCTCCTCCAGCCTGTAGCACTGCAGGGGATTGTTGTGACTCAGCACTTGGCCTTGTTGAACCTCAAACCATTGGTCTTGGTCCATCAATCCAGACTGTCCAGATCCCTCTGCAGAGCCTTCCTTTCCTCCAGATGATCAACACTCATGCCCAACCTGGTGTCATCTGCAAACTGACTGAGGGTGCCCTAGATTCCCTTGTCCAAATCATTGAGAAATATACTGGCCCCAATACTCAGCCCTGGGGAATGCCACTTGTAACTGACCATCAGCTGGATTTAACTCTATGCACCACCACAATTCTTTGAGCTCAGCCATCCAGACAGTTTCTCAACAAGTGAAGAGTATGCCCATTCAAACCACAAGCACCCCGTTTGTCCAGGACAGTGCTCTGGGAGACAGTGTCAAAGGTTTACTAAAGTCCAGGTAGACAAAATCCACAGCCATTCCCTTATTCACTTAGCTGGTCATCTTGTCAGAAAAGGAGGTCAGGTCGGTCAAGCAGGACCTGCCTTTCATAAACCCATGCTGGCTGGGCCTGATCACTCAGTTGTCCTCTGCATGCTGTATCATGACACACATGATGATCTGCTCCATAACCTTCCCTGGCACTGAGGTCAGGCTGACTATCCTGTACTGTCCCAGATCCTTCTTCTGGCCCTTCCTGTAGATGGGCATCACGTTTACCAATCTCCCGTTGTCTGGGACCTCCCTGGTTAGCCAGAACTGCTGATAAATGATTGAAAGGGATTTGGTGAGCTCTTCCACCAGCTCCCTCAGTATCCTTGGGTGGATTCCATCCGGCCCCATAGATGTGTGTGTTTCTAAGTGGTGTAGCAGGTTGCTGAACATTTTCCCTTTGGTTATGGGGGCTTCGTTCTGCTCCCCATCCCTGTCTTGCAGCCCAGAGGTCTGGGTAGCCTGAGAACAACTGGTCTTACTATCAACAACTGAGGCAAAGAAAGCATTGAGTGCCTCAGCCTTTTCCTTATTCCTGTTTTCCCCCACATCCGATAAAGAATGGAGGTTCTCCTTAGTCCTCCATTGCTAATTTATTTATAGAATCATTTTTATTTTCTTTATGGCTAAATGGTTGTGTCAATAATTACAGGGAACTTTCTCAAAACATTGTGAGAATAATAGGGCAAGAGTTGTCCTTAGGCATTGAATGAGAGATTTAGGGAGTAGAAAGACTAGACAAGACTCTGAAAAGAAGATAAAGAGTTTATATTTGATATAATTAAAAGGATGAGAGAGTTAAGAGATGTGTGGGGAAGGGCAGTGTGATATTTTTAAAAAACCCTTGAAGAAGTACATTTGTCAGGAACAGGAAAGGGCTTGGTAGTATACTTGGGTAAATTTTTTGTGTGCATGGACAACAGTGTAAGTATGTAGGCAGGTTACATAAAAAAAATCTGCAGGCCTTGAACTAGACTGGTTATAACTAGTTAAGGAGATGCGAGGAAAAGAAGTAGGTTATGAATCCAGGCACATGTTTCCTGAGAGTTTCCTGGGAGTTTCCAGCTTTAAATTCTGTGCTAGTTTTAGCTGATGTGGTGTGCTCTTCCCTGTCTCCCAGTAGTGTCAAGTCCTCATGGCTGTGCAGACATTTCCAACTAAAGCTGCGCCCTCTCTGATACAAGCACAGTAGGCAGTAGTGAAAATTCCTTTTGAGGAATATTTAAGAGTTTTTATCTTGCTGTACTGAACTCAATGTGGACACTAGGCAATGAAGAGATGACAGAGAGACAGGCTAACATTTCAGCTTAGCTAAAAGGGGCAGAACATGAGATTTAGTAATAGTGTATCTGCCTTTGTTTGTGGATGAAATACCCCAGAATGAGGCACAGATGAGAAAGAGACCAAAGCCAATATTCTTTAAAATCCCCATCAGAAATTGAAGGAGTGATTATATAAGGTCCCAGACAAGTTCTTTAAGATAAGGGTTACATCATGAACTCCCTATAACTGAGATTAAAAGCTCTATTTTCAACTTAGTGGTGATCATATTCTTCTTGTGATGTCCCTGGATTCCTATGGGGCTGAAATTCTTAAAGGTAATGACACAAACAGAATAACAGAGGATGGTTAGACAGAGTTCATATCAACAGACGTTATGTACAATGAAAGAGACCCTCTGAAGGAGAACTGGTTTCTTAAGAGAGCAATTGTCCAAAACAAATTTACTTAAACATGCTGTAGGAAAAGATTTTAGAACACTGAGTCATCTGGAAGACGATGTAGATGTTGAACCTTGGAGTTCAACAGGCTAATGAACTATGGAGATTACCTGTATTGCGTAAGTTTAACTGAAGATTTTAAAGTGGAAGGGTGATGCATTGACTAGATTCCTCAAGGATTTGATTTGTGAAGGACCAAGTGTTTGTGACTTCAGATGTCAGCTCAGTCGGTAGCCTAAAACCAGATGTTCAACTAGACTTCGTTGCAGGATGTTGTCTTTGAGGGATGTATTGAAGGAATAAATAAGGAGGTCAGAAACAAACTAGAGGAAGTCCTAGAAATCCAAGAAGAACAAGATTGCCTTTTGCCCTCAAGCCTTTGGATGCCCTATTCCTTATATTTTGTTTAGTTTGTATTAATTTAGGGCTAAGTTCCTGCGGCTATGCAGAACACATCACTCCTGCCCAAGCTTCCTGTTCATTACAAATGTCACTCTATCCAGCCTCTGAATCTGATTTCCTTCCTTCAAGGCCTGGTTTCCTTTGTTCTGCTCTGCATTTCATGCAGAGTAGTTATTCAGCTGATTTCTTTAGACTTCATCCAACTAATTGTGCCAGAGCTCTTTGAACAGGTTATCATTAAAGTTATAACAACCCATTATTGTGCTTTGTTTGGGAGAGATGTGATGAAGCCTTTGTAAACGAATGGTGGATTCCCCATATAATGAGGTCTTCCATGATTCAAGAGTTTTATAACAAGTGTGTAACATCAACTAGAATGTATATGTTGTACACAGACTCCTTCCTTCCTTTCTCATAAATCACAGGTTACTGATGTACCTCTTGGGCTACAGAAGAATTATTAAATATTCTGGTAAAAACAGCTTCAGCTGCAAAAAGAAAGAACCACACAAGGAGAGAAGCCCCAGGTAGAAACAATAAAGGTTGTGTTCAAAGAGCTCCAGATTGAAAAGAAGATGGAGTAAGTTGGCTCAAGTGGGATGCTTTTATAATGGGAGTGGTCAAAGGAAGCTCAAGTGAGGGAATAATCTGAGGGAGAGTGAGAAGTTACACATTGTAAAAGGGAAGTGATGAGGAAGTATATGATGGAGATCAAGACAAATCATGCTATAAAAGCAGGTGGAGGTTGGAGCACACAGGAAGAGGAACCACTGCTTTCCAGCTGTCCAGGTATATATCAGTCTTCACCCAAGTCCTATTGATCTGGACTTGTCACTGGAGTAACCAGTGAGAATTGTGCAGTCCTTTGCATGTTAAGAAGCATATGGTGTACTTCTGTCACCATAATGCCAACAGTCAAGTTATGGGCATTTGCTACATCAGATGTTATCTTTGGGCCTCATGTTGTTTGTGCCTTACATTGCTTTAACTCCTTTGAAGTTGGAATTGGCATGTATTTTAGCCATTTGTTTCTGTTGTGGGCTTTATCTTGTGGCTTGACCTCTTTTCATGCTCTTTGGGCTGTGCCTTCCCCCATGACAAGGGTGTAGGCAGGCCTGTTAACTTCTGCCATAAACACATTCCTTCAGGGTGGTACTGGGGATGAAGCAAGAGGTTAATAGGAACTTCTTCAAATAGTTACAGAGTTCTGTATGGCGGGGTGTATTTTGTATGGCACTGTGTTCTATCCTGCTGTACTGGCCCTGCATGCCTCACTTAAGTAAATCTCTCTCTACTCGTTGATGTGGGTGTGTCTATCACTCTGGCATTGGGAGGGAGTTAGAGCCAAGCCCTATATGTAGGGATTGCCTGTCTAACTGTAGATCTTGAACTTGACTCTGTGCTTGTTGCTTTATGCCCTTGCATTGACACAAAGTGGATGATTGTTGAGGTCACGGCAGGCATTGTTCTCTTTGGCCTTCCATGCTGCGGATCTCCATGTAGTTCAAAGTGATTATTGCGCTCTACTTTGTTGCATCATGAAGTTTCCTGAATGACTGGGCATTTGTTCACTTTTCAAGCCACAAAATTCCAACACAAAATGAGAGAGTTCTTGGAACATACAAAACTAATTTGCATGGAAAAAAATTCAAGTTAGCAAGTGAAGGTAGTGATGTAGTTAGTCAGCCAGTTTAAAACCATGTGGGCTGGAAGATTCAGGCATTCAAACAAACACTCTTTTACTTTTCTGCTAATCTCTCTCTGCTCCCTCTTACTTTTTTTTTCCCTCTGACTTCCTCCTCCTGTTAGCTACTAATTGGTGTAATACTCTACAGGGTATGTCTTTGATCTGAGATATATATATATATCTATTGTGTAAGAAGAGTAGGTAAAACATAGTAGCACAGTAGTCCAAAACCATTTAAAGTGGTTTCTTTCTGTGATTCTACTCTTATTTCTACCTAAAAATACGCTTTAAAATTTGATTCCTCCAGCACTTACTGAGATGAGATGAGATAGTTGCTGTCCCAAGGGTAAAAGCTATCTAAAGGGTCACATGTCAAAAAGTTGGCCACTGGATTTTGATCTTTTATTCTGATATGCTTTTATAACTAAGTATGAACCAAATATAACTTAAGCTGTGTGTATCAACAAAGCATGGCTGCAGGTAAGTTCAACACAGATGCATGAACATCTATGCTGTGTTAACATTAACAGTGTTAATTTGGTAATCTTTCACTTACAAATAAAACTATGTTTGGAAAAGAGAGCCTTTTTTAGAACCATGGAGTTTAGTAAAAAAACATAAACAATTCCCCAAATCCCAAGCAAATGAAAAATACCCTCTCAGTATGAGTCTTTGACTCATTTATGTGATAAATATGTGTATAAACCATAAGAAGAATGAAAAATTTTATAATTTGTCTAGTTAACAGAGTGCCAGTATCATAAGCTGGGTTTACAATCGAAGTTAGTCCTTGGTCATTCAGGGTATAATTTTGTTTCATTTTTTGGGGAATCAGTGTCATGGACATCATATATGTCAGGCTGTTTTCATAAAAGTAACTTTTGAGTCCACGACCATTTCGAAATAAAACGTTTACTTTTGAAAATCAGACTGTGGATTTTTATTAGAAGAAATTAAAATTGGTTTTCAATTTCACAAAAAAAGGAAGAGAATATATTGTTATAAGTGAGTTATAAGTAACTGTCTGCCTAGAGCTAAATTTTCACATTTAACTTTTCAGTTATTTGCAAGTGAATTGTCTTCCACTTTCTATAAACATTTCATTTTGTATTTCATAAGGTACAGTTTCCTTGTTTTCTTTGAAGAGGGAAAGCATATCCATCTCCAGGCAACCCAAGGGACACCTCCATGAACAAAGTACCATGAGGCAAGTCAGGGTGTGGATTTACAGCATGTAACCTACTCCACCCAATGGCTTCTTTTATGGCACATGTAAGGTCTTTTGCCACACATCCGTTGAGGTGCAAACTACATTATACTCAATGGGAGTAAGATTACATGGGCATCCAAGAGAAGTTGCTGCTAAGTACTTTAATTTCACAATCTGTATTATCTCTTAGCAACTTGTTTGTGTGGTATGCATTTGCTATAGCAGAAGGTTGTACACAAAGAGAAAGGGAGCTCAGAAGGGTATTACTTTGCAACCCAGTACTCAGTATCGTCTTAGTAAGAGGAAAAGCATATTTGTATTTGTGTATAGTGTTGTGTATCTGTTATTATGAAACTCCTTTATGAGGTGAAATGTCTACCAGGAGTATTTTAGGAAGAGATTTTAGCCAAATAGTATTTTATATTGACTTTTTACTGAATATTTTTCTACACAAGTTAGAGACATTGATTTATTCAGTTATTGTAAGAAGACAAATAACGTAGATAATATTATAGTTCAGGCATTAATGAGAGTTTTGGAAAAACTTCTGCCTCTAAAACAGAGGATGATCTTTTTCTCTCCTTTTGCAAGTTCTGCAATAGATTTTTAAAAAGAAAATAACAGGATTATGATGAGTTTTATGTCATTTTGTATAGATATAAAACTGTATGAAGTGGCTAACATATTTAACTTATTTTTCAAAAGCCCATTGTTTTCTATTTGTCTCCCCTCCTTCTACCTTTTACCTTGTTTTCCTGTTATTCACTCTAACTTACTGCCACTCACCTTTTCAATGGTTTCACTTTGTTTTCATTTAACATACATTTATAACACTTGTCCAATAAGGTTTGGTTCATCAAACGGGAGAGCGGAAATTATACAATATAGTAAAAGAAATCCAATTAAATCCATACCTGTAGTTGTTAGTGCTGAAATATCTGTAACTATCACTTAGTTATTAAACCCTGTGATCTGTGGGTATCTAATTATTGAACTGTATTTGTAGATTTAGATTTCCTTCTCTTTTTTTTTTGTTCTCCTTTACTTCTGAAAAAATACAGAAAAATCACAATTAAAATATTTTCATATTTGTGAATCCAATTTTTTTTAAAGCATTGGAACAGTGGTTTTCAAGGACTGGGGTTTTGAAAATGTTTATGATAAAAAAAAGACTGCCCTTTGCTTCTAAAGTGCTCAAATTAGTTACAAGTCTGCATGTGAGCTGATGAAAAGTCAAATACCGAAATACCTCAAACACTAAATACCTTTGAAAAACCTTAGAACATCATTTACTTTTGAAAATGGGGCATAGGCTCCAAAAACATTATTGCATTTCTGAGAATATTACCTTATGCCTTTCCCATCAACGTTAATCTTGTTGAGCCAAACTGCAGAGACATCTGACAATGGTTACTCTATCTGGAGAATATGTACCTTGGCAAGCCCAGGGTTTCTTTTAGAAAAGTGCAAAATTTGGAAGGGTATTTTTAGAGGAACTACGAAGGGAATCCCACTAAGCTTCCAAACCCATTGGATAAGTACTTTAAAACTGGCAGAGGACAAGAACAAAATGTGCCTTTTCGTATTTGGAGTTATTTAGAAATCTGTATTAATCATGACTTGATATGAAGAATAGCACTGCCATACCTTTTTATGTGTAATATACAGTCAATTTTCTCAAGGAGCTTGTAAAAACTAAGCCAGTAATCTTGGAACTGATCTCACTACAAAAGGAGGAGCTGCTGTCTGCTTTTTTTCTGTGTTGTATTGCCTGTACTGGAGTGTGAGAACCACCTCACCAGAAATTGTCATATTTATATTTACCTGAGTGACCACTGTTACCCTGCAATAAATGAAAGGTAACCTGCTCCTAAATGAAAGAAAAGTAGATTAATGCATTTTTACTGCAGGACTTGGACATATATACAGGAGCTTATCAGAGAGTATCTGGTACCCACAAACTTCCTGCCTTGCTTATCTTGCAGTAACCTGTTCTAATTCCCATAGGCTCAGGAAACTATTGCAATGGGCACAACTGTAAATAAAGCTTATGATATATGATGTAAACTCCCAGAGATTGCAATTGGATTCCCTTGAAAAGCTTTGAAAATCCTGTAACAGTTGGTGTTCTGGCTGCTGACTTCAGTTTTTGTCCTTCAGCAGCAAAAGTGGGCTGACACAGCCTTGCAGGACATCATGACATAAAGTCTTGAGATTGCACCAGGCAGTGAGAAACTGAGGCAAATTGTAGTCTTGACACCATTTTGCCATTGCATGAACTGATTGTGATTCCACAGTTTGCCCTGCAGACAGTGGGGTAGCCTGGTGGAGCGCAGCAGGAGCTGCAGCAGAGACCCAATCCAGACCCTGCTGAAATCAGGGAGGAGGGAGGGCTTCTGTTGACATTAGGTTGCTTGGATGAGAACCTCTCCAAGAAGCAGCAACCACCAGCAGGAAAGTCCAAAATCTGAGTTCTTTTATCTTTTTTTCTGTTCTGCTCTTGCCAAAGTGCTTCCTGCTTTAGTAGCTGTGGCAGTGTCTTCACTTAACAGCTCTTGAGAAACCATTGCTTTTTTTTTTTCCTTTCATGCCTTCAACCTATTATTAAGCAACTTTTAAAATACATATATACATCAATCTATAATATATACATCCTTCAATGACTGGCTTGTACTTGATTGTAGGAGAAGAAGGGATGTGTGTCTCTGGTAGGTTTTGGTCGTTATGGTCTGACGAAAAAGTTACTTGATTTTCTTTTTGTTTTCTTCCTCTAGAAGGTATGTCTCTCCCCTTCTAAAACTTCAGAATTCCTCCTAGTGAATTCACGTTTCTGGTTCCCCCACATGTTAATATTATCTGTGGAAAGAGGGTTTGTCCCAAACACCACTCCATCAGAGAGTTCACTTGCTGCTCTGCTCAGGCACATTCCTGGCAGACAGAGGAAGGTGCCTAGCAAGATGCAGTGATGCCTATGCATACAGGATCTGAAAAGGGACATACCATTTGTGGAGCACAGAGAAAGGATACTGAATCCTCTTTCCAGCAGTACAGTGGTAAGCACAGCAGCTGTACTGTGCTGCTGATCTGCCATCATGTCTCTACAGAACATCCTAAGTCAATCAGCTTTTCTACACCCACTGTCAATGCAGTTATGATGTCTCTGCTTCCACATATTTGAAGATTTTCATAGATTGTTGCCAAAAAACCCCAAACATTTGGGGAATAATTGAGCTGAATCATTTGGAGCATGTATCATCTAGTGTGTGTACAATGGCAATGATGAGGCAATTCCCTTCTCATTTAGTACCACAGTTACAACTCACATTACTTGTTTGGTGATACACCCCACATTTTCTGTGTCCACTGAGTTAAACCATTATAGGTACAATTGTACCTACAGACCTTTATTCTCCACCTGAGACATATTAGCTATGCAGTGATTCTGCAAACAGATCCAGCCACCCAGGATGAGTTTACTAGTTCCCCTGCCTAACCAAGTTCAGTGAATCTCTGAGGCCCTTTGTCTTCTGGACATGAAGTTCCCTCTTTCCAATATCATTACTATTGATTCCCATTGTTTATTGTCCTAGAGCTCATTTTCTTTGCTATTGTCAACATTGCCTCAGCACATTTGTCTGTCCTTGGATGATGATATCCATACACCATTGAACATGTGCTCATTATGATCATTAATTTCTTTTATAAGTGTGATTTTCATGATGGTCATGAAGTGACGAATTCACCCAGCATCCCAAATAAACAATATAATTTCTTTAGAATTGTGCAGGTCTAAAGTTCCCTTGGCTACAGTTTAAAGATGTTAAAGGCATTCAGATTGTTTGTTTTCTGCTAAATTAAAAATCTGCACCTGACAAATCCCATTTTACTCATTTGCTTACTTGTTGCTAAACAGTGCAAAGTCCAGATCAGAATTCTACATTTCAGTCTGTCAGAGTTGATATAATGGAGTTCAGTTTTCTGAATACAACTGCAAATAGTTGCAACAGTATAGATGGAAACTGCATGTCTCTTGACAAAGTTGGTGTAATGGACCAGTAGCACAAATGCGTGTGTAGCTGTAATATTTCACCCTAAGGCTATTTCACAGAAGTGAAAATAATACTTTGGAAAAAACTCCACAGTATTTTTCCAACCAGTGTGAATAAATCTTCAACTGCAACCTTCTGAAAGGGAAGAAGTTGTTTCTTGCAAAGTTAAAAGTGTGCCTTGTTAAGTAGTATGTTCTTTTAAGTCCACAGTATGTCCTGTT